ATCATTCAATCACATCAGTCTTCTTTTGTTTAACAAAATATTTTAGGTGGAGAGGAAATTCTATGATTAAATATTCTGAATGAATAACATTAATATATGAGCACATGTGTGTACATGAGAGTAGTTTAGGTGCATTTATACACAGGAATATCAGCTAAAAATAGCAAGATCGTTCATAGTCATTCATACTTTGTGAACTTGACTCTCTATAAAAATATGTCTAAAGAAGTTACAGGCTTGGTTGGAGGGCTTTTGGCAGCAAAGAAAAAATTGGATTTGCCCCTGACAGGCTATTTACTCGCAATTGTGAGGTATGAGAGTAGATGATTAGGGTCATGGTGTTTCAGATGTACTCTTTCCTTGAATATTATTTCTGAGAGCAGCTTGAGTTAGAACAGCAGGTGAAGAATGAGTTTGTCAAAAATCATTTTTGAGGTTATCTTATTAAAAGCATTTAAAGTGTGGAAAGCCCCTGGAGTATCTCACCCAGGATTTGGCATACAGTAGGCACTTGAATATTTGATTTTGATCTGTCCTGCTATGGCTTAAGTTTACAAACAAATGCCTAGAGAGTGGGTGAATTTCTTACACATTGGTACAGTAAACCAGCATTAATTTAAAAGGTCAGCTTGGTGTAAATTTCTGAAGTTCAGAAAGCATGGATTTGCAATTCTTGCCCTTGGCTTTGTTATAGTTTAATTAAATTCTTAACCTATCTGGCTGGTTGTCTCTCTTCTGGTAGCAGCAGTTCTTAAAGGGTACTGACTCTTCTTTAGAAATGACTCAGAATACACTGACTTTTAATCCCAGTCGAACTCTGATCTGACCAAACTAACAAAGAAAAAAAAATTTAAGAATGTTTTAAGTGATTGGTAGTTTCATTTTTAAAACTAATGAAATAATGTCCGTAGAACATCTCAAATCAATTTTTAATCAACTCTCCTTATTTTTGTTCCCTCTGCACAAAAGTTTGGCTGAGTTCTTTGAGATATTCTAGAAATAAAAGAGATAAGTAACCTCAGCAATTTCAGCACCATTATATCACATCTTTTTGACAAGTTTGAACTTATGTTTGTAAATGCATGTAGCAAAAATATTCCCTTTGATAAGGGAATAGATTATTTATGATGACTTTCAAAACCCTTCTATTTTCTCAGACTGTGATAGATCACTCAGTGAAACCAGAACTAGAAGAATTTCTAATAAAACTATTTGGAATGCCTGAATTGGCTTACTTCTCCCATAAAGTTGTATGATTTGGATTGTTAATAACAGAAAACTTAGGAATCTATTATTTTAAAAGTTCTTAATTATCTTAATAGTCCTACTAACTGCACATTGAAGACATTAGTCATTGACAGGGTATGTATATAGGCATATAAATAATTTGTACAGTTTTTAAATCAGTAATGACTAGTATTTACATGACACCATTGTAACCAACTTTGCTTCCAACAGTACTTTTATTTTTTTCCACTCATCATTTCTTTTCAAAAAACATATGTTTTTTCCTGTACCCATCCTCCTACTGATGACATTTTAATACTCTTGTTTCTAATGGTCACATGTGGTCCACTGGAGAAGGGGGTGGCAAACCACTTGAGTATTTTTGCCTTGAGAACCCCATGAACAGTATGAAAAGGCAAAAAGATAGGACACTGAAAGATGAACTCCCCAGGTCGGTAGGTGCCCAATATGTTACTGGAGATCAGTGGAGAAATTACTCCAGAAAGAATAAAGGGATGGAGCCAAAGCAAAAACAACACCCAGTTGTGGATGGGACTGGTGACAGAAGCAAGGTTTGATGCTGTAAAGATCAATATTGCATAAGAACCTGGAATGTTAGGTCCATGAATCAAGGCAAATTAGAAGTGGTCAAACAGGAGATGGCAACAGTGAATGTCGACATTCTAGGATTAGTGAACTAAGATGGACTGGAATGGGTGAATTTAACTCAGATGACCATTATATCTACTACTGTGGGCAGGAATCCCTTAGAAGAAATGGAGTAGTCATCATAGTCAACAAAAGAGTCCAAATGCAGTACTTGGATGCAATCTCAAAAATGACAGAATGATCTCTGTTCGTTTCCAAGGCAAACCATTCAATATCACAGTAATCCAAGTCTATGCCCCGACCAGTGACACTGAAGAAGCTGAAGTTGAACGGTTCTATGAAGACCTACAAGACCTTCTAGAACTAACACCCCAAAAAGATGTCCTTTTCATTATAGGGGACTGGAGTGCAAAAGTAGGGAGTCAAGAAACACCTGGAGTAACAGGCAACTCTGGCCTTGGAGTACGGAATGAAGCAGGGCAAAGGCTAATAGAGTTTTGCCAAGAGAACGCACTGGTCATAGCAAACACCCTCTTCCAACAACACAAGAGAAGACTCTACACATGGACATCACCAGATGGTCAACACCGAAATCAGTTTGATTATATTCTTTGCAGCCAAAGATGGAGAAGCTCTATACAGTCAGCAAAAACAAGACCAGGAGCTGACTGTGGCTCAGATCATGAACTCCTTATTGCCAAATTCAGACTGAAATTGAAGAAAGTTAGGGAAAACCACTAGACCATTCAGGTATGACCTAAATCAAATTCTTTTTGACTATACAGTGGAAGTGAGAAATAGATTTAAGGGACTAGATCTGATAGAGTGCCTGATGAACTATGGATGGAGGTTCATGACATTGTACAGGAGACAGGAATCAAGACCATCCCCAAGAAAAAGAAATGCAAAAAAGCAAAATGGCTGAGGAGGCCTTACAAATAGCTGTGAAAGAGAGCAAAAAGCAAAGGCGAAAAGGAAAGATATTTTCATTTGAATGCAGAGTTTCAAATAATAGAAAGGAGAGATAAGAAAGCCTTCCTCAATGATCAATGCAAAGAAATAGAGGAAAAAAATAGAATGGGAAAGAATAGAGATCTCTTCAAGAAAATTAGAGATACCAAGGGAACATTTCATGTGAAGATGGGCTCAATAAAGGACAGAAATGGTATGGACCTAACAGAAGCAGAAGATATCAAGAAGAGGTGGCAAGAATACACAGAACTGTACAAAAAAGATCTTCACAACCCAGATAATCACGATGGTGTGATCACTCACACTCACCTAGAGCCAGACATCCTGGAATGTAAACTCAAGTGAGCCTTAGGAAGCATCACTATGAACAAAGCTAGTGGAGGTGATGGAATTCCAGTTGAGCTATTTCAAATCCTGAAAGATGATGCTGTGAAAGTGCTGCACTCAATATGCCAACAAATTTGGAAAACGCAGCAGTAGCCACAGGATTAGAAAAGATAAGTTTTCATTCTAATCCCAAAGAAAGGCAATGTCAAAGAACGTTCAAACTATTGCACTATTGCATTCATCTCACACGCTAGTAAAGTAATGCTCAAAATTCTCCAAGCCAGGCTTCAACAGTACATGAATCATGAACTTCCAGATGTTCAAGCTGGTTTTAGAAAATGCAGAGGAACCAGAGATCAAATTGCCAACATCTGCTGGATCATCGAAAAAGCAAGAGTGTTTCAGAAAAACATCTATTTCTGCTTTACTGACTATGCCAAAGCCTTGGGCTGTGTGGATCACAATAAACTGTGGAAAATTCTTCAAGAGATGGGCATACCAGACCACCTGACCTGCCTCTTGAGAAATCTGTATGCAGGTTTGGAAGCAACAGTTAGGACTGGACATGGAAAAACAGACTGGTTCCAAATAGGAAAAGGAGTACATCAAGGCTATATATTGTCACCCTGCTTATTTAACTTATATGCAGAGTACATCATAAGAAACGCTGGGCTGGAAGAAGCACAAGTAGGAATCAAGATTGCTGGGAGAAATAGCAATCACCTCAGATGTGCAGATGACACCACCCTTATGGCAGAAAATGAAGAAGAACTGAAGAGTCTCTTGATGACACTGAAAGGGGAGAGTGAAAAAGTTGGCTTAAAACTCAACATTCAGAAACTAAGATCATGGTATCCAGTCCCATCACTTCATGGAAAATAGATGGGGATACAGTGGAAACAGTGTCTGACTTTATTTTTGGGGGTTCCAAAATCACTGCAGATGGTGAATGCAGCCATGAAATTAAAAGATGCTTACTTCTTGGAAGGAAAGTTATGACCAACTTAGACAGCCTATTAAAAAGCAGAGAGATATCTAGTCAAAGCTATGGTTTAAAAAGAAAAAAAAAAGAAAAAAAAAAAAAAGAAAAAGCAGAGAGATTACTTTGCCAACAAAGGTCCGTCTAGTCAAGGCTATGGTTTTTCCAGTGGTCATGTATGGATGTGAGAGTTGGATGGTGAAGAAAGCTGAGTGCCGAAGGATTGATGCTTTTGAGCTGTGGTGTTGGAGAAGACTCTTGAGAGTCCCTTGGACTGCAAGGAGATCCAACCAGTCCATCCTGAAGGAGATCAGTCCTGAGTGTTCATTGGAAGGACTGATGCTGAAGCTGAAACTCCAATACTTTGGCCACCTGATGCAAGAGCTGACTCATTGGAAAAGACCCTGATGTTGGGAATGATTGAAGGCGGGAGGAGAAGGGAACGACAGAGTATGAGATGGTTGGATGGCGTCACCAACACGATGGACATAAGTTTGAGCAAGCTCCAGGAGTTGGTGATGGACAGGGAGGCCTGGCCCTGCTGGAGTCCATATGGTGTCACAGAGTCGACGCGACTGAGTCACTGAACTGAACTGAACTGAACCATGAACAATTCCCCTCAGGAGGCGTGGCAATTCCCTCCAGTATCCTTGTCTGGATGAGCCCACAGACACAGAAAAGCCTGGCCGGCGACCGTCCATGGGACTGCAAAGAATCAGACACGGCTCAAGCGACTGATCAGCACGCACCACGAACATTAACACCTTAGGTACTTATGTTAAAAGGTTGGCCATACAGACATTTGATACTGCCAATTGGGACTAGTTACCACAAAGGTGTGAGTGCATTTTTAAGTTACCATTTTAAACGGTAATGTTATTTTTAATTACAATTCTGCCAGAAGGCGCAAAGATGGAGGGTAGACCAGGGTAGTGGGAGAGACATCCCCTTTCAGACCCCGCTCTGAGGGCGCCAGCGCGGTGTCCCGCTGGCTGGGTGGGGCGTGTGCCCGCGTTTGGTGGAGGCGCCCCGACTCCTTCACCGCGGGCCACTGGCTAGGCGCTGTGCTTGCCCTGCCGTTGGCCAGCGCAGCGGGCACAGACTCAGGCCTGCCAAGGTTACAGCCCACGCGAGTCCCACAGTCCACACGACGCCTGGTCCTCCTGTGCGGGAGGCTTCTTGCGAGCTTCTCGCGCGTATGGAGCTGCTGCTTCAGGTTCTTTCCACGTGAACGTGGCCGGGCAGCTTGTCCGCGCGCTGCGCAGTCCTCCTGGCTTCAGAGAACTGGGTGCCCGCGCGTTTGCGCCGCACCGAACCAGGGGTCTGTGCAGCTTCTCTCAAGTGTCCAGGCAGCTTTTTTGGGCCATATTACGCGGCATGTGGGCTCTTCCCGACCAGGGGTTCCATTGTGCTCGCTGCTTTGGGGGCCTGGAGTCAAGCAGTGGACCACCAGCAAAGTCCCTCCCGGTAGCTTTTTTGAGAGGACCTTTAATGAAGCCCAGGGTGAAATGTGGGCTTCCCAGGTGGCGCTGTTGTTAAAGAACCCACCTGCCAACGCAGGAGCCGCAGGAGAAAAGGGCTTGGTCCTTGGGTCGGGAAGATGCCCTAGAGGAGCGCATGGCAACCCTCCCCAGTATTCTTGCCTGCAGAATCCAATGGACAGACCAACTTGGCAGGCCGCAGTCCGTAAGGTCGCAGAGTTGGACCTGGCTGAAGCGACTTAGCAGGAGGGCACAGGTGGAATAGATCTCTTGATTGAATTTATTTCCTGTATGTACGAATTCCTCTCAGCATATCTCGTCTCTAAGTGAGGCTCTGTGGAGACCATTTATTACAGGGTAATAAGAGTATGGCTGGTGCATTCAACTAGCTCGAAATTGTAATTTCAGCTAATTGAATGCAATTCTGTAAAAAATGAACTATATATGCCTTTGATTATCAGCCAAATTAGACACATACAGCTAGTGACCTAGCATATTTGCCAATTTAAAATTGATGTTCTAATGTTCTATGAAATTCATGCAAGACTAAGGACTAAGAATAATATGAGCCTCATAAAAAGTCATTTCATCTAGAATATAGCCAATATATTTAAAATTAATATCAAGGTTCTCATTATGTTTGTAATTTAAAAAAAAGGTCATTAATGACAATTTTAAGCCTAGATGTTTTAATGATGTAACTTTTATAGTAATAGATTTATAATTAAACACACCTTTTTTCCCTCTTGAAGTGTGAAATACATAGACCTAGAATACATTAAATTTGATGTCTTTCTTCATGAAAGAAACGTGTCTGAATTACTGAGAGTTACCCAGAATTCCCTTGAGAATTTTGAGATTTTTTTTTTTTCCCCACTTATAAAATCTTCAATTTTTCTACGGAAAAGTCATTTTTTGAATGCTTATAATGGAATGGCGTGGCCCCTGATAACCAGGTGTAGAAGATATGCTTGCTCTTCAGGGCTCAGTTCAGGTAGGCAGGATTTATTTTGTGTGTGTGTGTACACATGTATAATTTTTTGTTTTTGTTATTTTAATTCTTAATTCTATCTATAATTCTTTTATAATTCTATTTATAATTTTTATATATTTTATATCTTGATTTGATATCTATTTGTGTTCTGCCAGTCTGGCAGGGTGGAAGAAATTAGAGAAATAGTTGTGGGAGATTAAGAGGTACAGACTTCCAGTTACGAAATAAATGAGTCCTGAGGATGAAATGTACAGCCTGGATAGTATAGTCAGTAGTAATATAATATCTTTGTATGATGACAGATGACTTATTGTGGTGATCATTTTATAATCCATAGAAATATCCACTCAATATGTTGCATCCAGGAATTAACATTGTGTTTGTAGGTTAATTATATTAAAAAAAATCTAAAGAAAAAAACAAACTCATAGCCCAGGAGAGGGTCAGGGGAGAAGCAATTGGATAAAGGTGATCAAAAGGTACAGACTTCCAGTTGTAAGATAGATGGGTGCTAGGGCTGTAATGTGCCACATGATTAACATAATCAGCACTTCTGTATGTTGAATATGAAAGCTAAGAGACTAACCCTAAGAGTTCTCATCACAAGGACATATTTTTCCCTTTTTCTTTTATTTTGTATCTATATGAGGTAACGGATGTTCACTAAACTTTTTGTGATAATCATTTCATTATGTATGTCAGTCAAATCACGGTGCTGAAAAAACAGTCACTGCGCTGTCCACCTTAAAGTGATGCAGCGCTGTGTGTCTGTTGTGTCTCAGTGAGACTGGGGGGGTAAAAAGTGACCCCCTCTACTGCATCCGAGGAGAGTGGACCCTTCATGTCACCCGTCCTCAGGGATGTCTGCATCGATGACCGTCTTCCCGCCTAGTCCTCAGTCCACAGTCGGGTCTGACACATCTCTCCTTCCTGTCTGGTTGGCCCCTTCAGTGGTCTGTGTATAATTGTGGGATGCCATGCTGTGTTGAGGTACTGAACTCACCATCATGCTGACACATTCTTCCCAGGTTCTCTATGCATCTTCTTCTCTCTGGGATTTTGAGTCCAGAGATTTGTCCTGAACAGGACACAGGGCCCAGAAATCAGGTCTCATGTCACCCTTCCTTACCCTTGCTTCCTTCTCCAATCCCTTCATGCTCATCACATCTCCTCCAGCTCTCTCTCTCTCTCTTTTTTTCTTTAATTGGGGAATCTTTTTGTCTAGGGACCAGAATCTGAATTCTCATATTATTGTTTTTCTGATTTTTGAAATTAGGAGTTCAGTTCAGTTAAGTCACTTCCAACTCTTTGCAACCCCAGGACTGCAGCAAGCCAGGCCTCCCTGTCCATCACCAACTCCCAGAGTTTAGTCAAACTCATGTCCATCGAGTCAGTGATGCTATCCAACCATCTCATTCTCTGTTGTCCCTTTTTCCTCCCACCTTCAGTCTTTCCCAGCATCAGGGTATTTTCAAATAAGTCAGTTCTTCGCATCAGGTGACCAAACTATTGGAGTTTCAGCCTCCGTATCAGTCCTTCCAAGGAATATTCAGGACTGATTTTCTTTGGGATTAACTTGTTGGATCTCCTTGCAGTCCAAGGGACTCAAGAGTCTTTTCCAATACCACAGCTCAAAAGCATCACTTCTGCTTTCTTTATACTTCAGCTTTCACATCCAGAAAAACCAGAGCTTTGACTAGATGGACCTTTGTTGGCAAAGTAATGTCTGTGCTTTATAATATGCTGTCTAGGTTGGTCACAACTTTTCTTCCAAGGAGCAAGCATCTTTTAATTTCATGGCTGCTGTCAACATCTGCAGTGATTTTGGAGCCCAAGAAAATAACGTCTCCCACTGTTTCCATTGTTTCCCCATCTATTTGCCATGAAGTGACAGGACCAGATGCTGTGATCTTAGTTTTCTGAATGTTGAGTTTTAAGCCAACTTTTTCACTATCCTCTTTCACTTTCATCAAGAGATTCTTTAGTTCTTCTTTGCTCTCTGTCATAAGGATGGTGTCATCTGAATATCTGAGATTATTGCTATTTCTCCCAGCAAGCTTGATTCCAGATTGTGCTTCATCCAGCCTGGCATTTCACATGATCTACTCTGCATATATGTTAAATAAGCAGGGTGACAATATATAGTCTTGACGTACTCCTTTACCTATTTGGAACCAGTCTGTTGTTCCATGTCCAGTTCTAACTGTTGCTTCTTGACCTCCGTACAGATTTCTTAGGGGACAGGTCAGGTGGTTCGGTATTCCCATCTCTTGAAGAATTTTCCACAGGCTGTTGTGATCCACACAGTCAAAGAATTTGGCATAGTCAATAATGCAGAAGCAGATGTTTTTCTGGAACTCTCCTACTTTTTTGATGATCAAATGGATGTTGGCAATTTGATCTCTGGTTCCTCTGCCTTTTCTAAATCCAGCTTGAACATATGGAACTTCATGGTTCACATACTGCTCAAGCCTGGCTTGGAGGTTTTTAAGCATTAGTTTGCAAGCATGTGAGATGAGTGCAATTGTGAGGTAGTTTGAGCATTCTTTGGCATTGCCTTTCTTTGGGATTGGAATGAAAACTGACCTTTTCCAGTCCTGTGACCACTGCTGAGTTTTCCAAATTTGCTGGCATAGTGAGTGCAGCACTTTCACAGCATCATCTTTTCAGATTTGAAACAGCTCAGCTGGAATTCCATCACCTCCACTAGCTTTGTTTGTAGTGATGCTTCCTAAGGCCCACTTGACTTGTGGCTCTGGGTGAATGATCACACCATCATGATTATCTGGTCATGAAGATCTTTTCTGTACAGTTCTTCTGTGTATTCTTCACCTCTTCTTCATAGTCTTCTTAATTCACCAGCTCCCATGAGGATCTTAGGCTTTTGGAAAGTAAAGCTGGGGAGAGACTTTTTTTTTTTCCTTAATCCTGCCATATTGCTTATACAACATAGCAGTTCTACTCAGTCATTGTAGGAGAAGATGGGTTGGGGGTTTAAAACAGTAGAAAAAAATGACTTACTACTTCAAATATATTACTCTATTCAAAGGTACTAATGAGATGAAGGTCTTGAGTTTGCGACTGATCTGACCCAGTTCACGTCCCACAGCATGTAAAGTCCATAGCAGTGCAAGAACCAGCTCTACATGGTTAGTGATCCTATCATAGATGAAGATCAACAAACCAGCGCAATTAGGAAAGAAACTGGGGATATGGCAGCATAAATCAACAACAACAACAACAACAAACCAGTGTAAATTCTCTGCTAAATCATCTTACTAATCTTAGCCCTCATTACTCTGGGTCACTCGCTTGCTTGCTTGCTAAGTTGCTTCAGGCCTGTCTGACTCTTTGCAACCCCATGGACTGTAGCCCACCAGGCTCCTCTGTCCATGGGATTCTCCAGGCGAGAATGCTGGAGTGGGTTGTCAGGCACTCCTCCAGGGGATCCTCCCAACCCAGGGATCAAACCTGCATCTCTTATGTCTCCTGCAGTGGAGGCAGATTCTTTACTGCTGAACCACAGAGGAAGCCAGGACCTCTCACTTAGCCTCATGTTTTTGTAAAAATTATGAAAGTAAGTTTATTTTTTTAAAGCCAAACTCATATGTTGCATTTTCCTCTCTGGCAAGTG